TTAATCGATTAGTTCGGACAGAGCCTATTAATCGATTATTTGCCTTAATTTAATCGATTATTATTCAGCCTTCGTTTCAGGCTTTTCGCTTCTGTACACTTTAATCGATTAAAATTCCTAATTTAATCGATTAATTCTCTCTGGTACAGAACATCAGCTTTCTTCAACGGCTTTATTTTCCTCAGCCTATTTAATCCCTCATTCTCCTTCATTTCCATACACCTCTTGCACTCCAATATATTTCTTTGAGCTATTCATCCTTTGCTTCATCTTCCTCATCAAAATATTATTTTTGAGAGTTAGAAATATTTTTTCTTTGAGTGCTATAGAAGTTGTCATCCATAGAGCTTAAATCTTTCAACACTACTTTGCTCAATTGTGTGAGCTTTCATTCTTGTGTTGTAAACTCAATTTCATTTGAGTGTTGTTCTTAAGACTTGTGTGACTCAAGTCTTGTTGTTGTAAGAAAGTGAGGCTTGTGTGATTCAAGTTCTCAAGTTGTACCGGTTTTTCAAGCACCCGTTGAAGCTTGAAGAATAGTAGGACTTTCGAGAGAGTCTCTCGGAGGACTGGACTAGCCACGAGGTGGTGAACCGGTATAAATCCCGGTGTTCTTCTTTCCCTTAGTCTCCTTACTTTTTCCTGCGATAATTTTTACGAAAAACGTACATTCTTGAAAACAACTCTATTCACCCCCCCCTCTAGAGTTGCACTTTTGTCTAACAATTGGTATCGGAGCAGGAAGTTCTTCGAATACGTTATTTTTTTTAGGAACTAAAAGATCAAATGACATCAAGAATGTTCAACGCAGGAGTGACCGAGGGACAATCAACCACGAGGCCACCTTTGTTCGATGGAACAAACTACTCGTATTGGAAGGAGAGGATGAGAATCTTTATCCAATCCAACGACTACAAGCTATGGTTGATTGTGAAGAACGGCTGCGGAGTCCCTATGAAGAAAGTCGGTGAAGTTAACGTTCCCAAGACCGAAGAGGAGTTCACCGACGAAGATTGCAAAAAGATGGAGCTCAAACCTTCATGGATGATCATTCCTGTCGGTGAAGTTAACGCTCGTACTAATTCTCAAACCTGTCGCTGAGTTTGAAGCTATAAACCCAAAATCGAAATGATCATTCCTCTCTCAGTTGTTCATCTTCCTGGTGGAACCCAAAATCGAATCCAATGTCCTTCATGGATGAGTTTAATGAGTTAGTCTAAGGAAATTGCAAAGAAAACAAACCTTAAAACTCATCCATGAAGGTTACTGGTTTTGATTTTGGATTCTACCAAAAAAATGAACAATTGAGAGAGAAGTGATGATTTCGGTTTTGGGTTCAAAACTTCAAACTCAGCGACGGGTTTGGGAAAGGAGTGCGAGAGCAGGGAGGAAGCTTAATTGAGGAGAGAGAGGAGTGTGAATTTACAATTTTATCTACGTTTTTAACGGAAATGTTAACAAAGGATCATTCGTGGAAAGTAATATAATAATTGGGAACTAAATTATTGATATTTGATATGTAGGGACTAAATATGTAAAACGAACTATAACTGAGGACCTTTTATGGAATTTACTCAAAAAGATAATACTTTTTTTATTTTAAAACCATTGATTAAGATAACGTGATTATGAATACCCGGAGTATAATACGGAGTAATACGAATAATAATAGTAATAATAAATTATAACAACAATAATTAGAATGAGAGTAATATAAAAAATAAAGTTAAATTAATTTTTTAAAGTTTTTTTAGATTTTCCAATTTTTTTAGTTTTTCCAGTTTCATCTAATTTCTTCTAGTTCCTTCAAGTTCCTTCGAGTTTCTTCTCGTTTTTTTCCAGTTTCTTCTATTTTCTTCTAGTTTCTTCTAATATCCAGTTTTTTTTCAAGTCTAAAAGAACATATCCGAAATAAGGATCTAGGCCCAAAATATAATTTTATTTAGAACAACCTAGCAAATCAAGGATTGTAATTTGATTGCAACAGAAAATAACTAGTGTTTGGTTGGAAAGTAATTGAGAAGAAAATAGATTGGAATTGAGATTAAAAATATCTCTCCTTCTTTCTCACCAAAATGACTAATAAAAATAGTTAAAGAAAGTGATTAAAATTTGACCATGTGAATAGTGACTGAAAAAAATCAATTTAGGACGGAACTAGGGAGTATTTGTTAAAATAGTGGAGGTCATAGACTTGAGTTCGGAGTCAAATACATTTTAAATGTCATAGTTACCTTGATAGTGTTATCATACGTCATAGTTTTATAAATGTATGGAAATTGAATATCCACATACTCCATTGACAAATAAAACATAGGCAAAAAGACTTGGATAAAAAACTTGATGAGGCTTAGATTTAAATATTAACGATGATAAAAATAAATTGGACTATGTGAGCTTTATTTTTATATTTATTTCTTTAAAATACTGTCTTCGTCCCATAAAAATGTTCCCATTTTGATTTTTATGAAATTCAAGAGAGAGATAATTTTTTATTGACTTTCCAAAAATACCCTTGATGTGATGAGTAGGTTATTAGTAAAAAAGGTATGTTGTGATATGTAGGTATGATGTAGTTTTTTAATTGAAAGAGGAATGATTTTGTGAAACAAGAAAAAAAAGAAAGGAGAATGAATTTTTTTTCAGATATTCGATCCGAAATATCTGAAAAGGTACAGTATCGAATCGGATATCCATATTTTTGGGATCAAATCAGCCCGGATGACGGGCGAATCCTTCAACCATCCAAGAACAAAAGTCATAGTTAATTTGCGATCAAAATCCAACTTATCTTCTCTCAGTGACCGTTTGGCTGAGTCTGAAGGAGTCTTCTAGAACTTTTGACATAGTTTTTTAATATGTAATTTTTATTTCTTATCGATATACCAATTTGTAAATAAAATAATTTCAAAAAGTGAGATATTTTTATTCATAAACTGTAATTTGTAATCCAATTAGAGACGGAGGAACTATTACAAAATTCATTACCAAATGCGTCACTGAGTGCGTGGACCTATAGATTCTCCCTCCCAAATTGTAACCAACTTTCAAATAATGCGTATAATATTATCTTTTTTAGAATTATTTTATTTTTAGGAATGGGTAGAAAAATAAAAAATAAAATTACACCGTTCAATAATAGATCAAAAATTCTACAAAACAAAATGTGACAAAAATATTTATTTTATTAAATATTCAACCAAAACGAGTAAACAAATAAAAATTATCGAGAAACTGAAATGGTAACCGTTGCTTATATTTTGGGACGGGGGAGTATATATACACATACCTCCCATCTTCTCAATTCAAACCCTCCTCTATCTTCTTCATTTCCATCCCCTTCTTCATTCTTCTCCAAAGCTCCGGCGAGCTCGACCGCGGCGGCGATGGCGACCACCGACGATGTGAAGCTGTTGGGGACGTGGTGGAGCCCGTACGCGCTCCAAGTCCGAATAGCTCTGAACCTCAAGTCGGTGAAGTATGAGTTCATCGAGGAGCCAATGTGGCCGAAGAGCGAGCTCCTCCTCGAATCCAACCCGGTTTACCGGAAAGTCCCCGTCCTCATCCACAACCGCCGCCCCATCTCTGAATCCACCCTCATCGCACAGTACATCGATTCCGTCGGGGCTTCCTCTTCTCCCCCGTCGTCGTCGTCGTCCATCTTCCCCTCTGTACAAATTGATAAGGGAGAAGATATTCTATATATTGAATTGTTCTATCTAATTACAAGGAGTTTCTCCTTTATTTATAGGAGAGGATGATTCCAAAATAGACAAGGAATACAAATCCTACAAGGAAACAAATCAATAATCAAATTAGGAAACAAATAAATCAAGATCAATCCTAATTAGAATGGAATTCGGTCATCATAGGAGTTGGATTTCTCGAGTTCGGATTTCTCGGAATTCGGATTTCTCGGAAGTTGGACTTCTCCGGATCCGGACTTCTCTGGATCCGGACTTCTCAGTTCCAATACCCCCCCTCAAGCTGGAGCGTGTAGATTTTGGAAGCCAAAGCCTTTGTAAACAGGTCAGCCGGTTGATCGGTGGTGGAGACATGCCGGGTACATAGAACACCTTTCTGAATTTCATCACGCACAAAGTGACAGTCAATCTCAATGTGTTTGGTACGTTCATGAAAAACGGGGTTAGCTGCGATATGAAGAGCAGCCTGATTGTCGCAAAACAACCGCATGGGTTGTTTGTGATTCACGCCCAAGGACAATAGAAGGGACTTCAAGCATTTTAGTTCACAAACAGTGGTTGCCATGGCCCGGTATTCAGCCTCAGCAGAAGAGCGGGAGACCACATTTTGTTTCTTTGTACGCCATGACACCGGGGAATGGCCGATGGTAATAAAATAACCAGTAACTGAACGACGAGTCAAAGGACAGCCAGCCCAATCAGAGTCACAGAAAGCCGTAAGAGTGAGATCACTTTGTGCTGGAAGGAATAAGCCTTGCCCGGGACTACCCTTGATATAGCGCAGAACATGTGTCGCGCCATCCCAATGCTCTTGTCGCGGGTTCCCCATAAATTGAGATAACACATGAACAGCATAAGCAAAATCAGGACGACTAATCGTGAGATAAATAAGGCGCCTGACAAGCCGGCGATAACGCTCTGGATTAGGAAGAAGCGGGCCACTCGCCAGAGCCAGATGATGATTCTGATGAAGAGGGGTTGAAGCCGGACGAGCACCTAGAAACCCAGTCTCACAAAGAATATCAAGAGCATATTTTCTTTGGCATATGAAGATTCCTTTTGAATTCCGGGCAACCTCAACGCCCAAAAAATATTTTAAAAGGCCGAGATCTTTCATATGAAAGCAATCAGAGAGATACTTTTTAAATTTTTCAATGAAACCTTCATCATTTCCTGCAATAATGAGATCATCCACATACACCAGCACACGAAATTCAATGGAGCCACGCCGAAGAGTAAACAAAGAATAGTCAGCCTTGGAATGGTGAAACCCAAAATGGTTCAATGCAGAGGTGAGTTTAGCAAACCAACAACGTGGAGCTTGACGAAGACCATAGAGAGATTTATGAAGACGGCAAACCAATCCTTTACCGTGAGAGGCAAACCCTGGAGGAAGAGTCATGTATATTTCATCACAAAGATCTCCATGCAAAAAGGCATTATGGACGTCCATCTGATGCAGGAACCAGTTTCGGGCAGCGGCAACGACTAAGAGAGTGCGAACGGTAACTAATTTGGCCGTCGGTGCAAGAGTCTCTTTAAAGTCAATTCCTTCTTTCTGACGATTTCCAAGCACCACCAACCGAGCTTTGTATCGTTCAATGCTTCCATCAGACTTGCGCTTGATTTTATAGACCCACTTTCATCCAATCGTTTTCCTTCCACGAGGCAAAGGGACAAGCGACCAGGTACCATTAGCTTCCAATGCCTGAATTTCTTCCTTCATGGCTCGTACCCAGAGTGGGTTTTTGACCGCCTCAGAAAAGAATGTAGGCTCAACATCTGTACTTATAGCTGCCAGAAAACATCTATGGGAAATAGAAAATTTGTCAGCGTTAATAAAATTTGTAATACAGTGCTCTGTACCTGAAGGCGGTGTCGGTGTGGGTGAATCACGAGAGGAACGTTGAATGGTGTGAGTGACGAAGTCACGCAGTCGCGAAGAAGGACGACGTTCTCTTTCACTTCGGCACAAAGTGTCTTGGGTCGGAAGGGTTTGGTTATCAAGATCAGGGGAGAGCTGAACTATTTCAGTGGGTTGGCTATTTGGTGGTGCTGATGTGGAGATATCTGGGTACGGTTGACCGTGGTCCTGAGAACGGTCCATCGAATCGACCGTCTGAGTGGCAGTGTCAGGTTCAGAGGGTGATGGTCGACCGTTGTTGGAAGTTTCTTCACTGGGTATTTCCTCCTCAAAAAACTCAGCAGTGGGTTCAGTTTCTGTGAGATTAGGGGTATTTTGTGGGTGAAAGAAAAATTATTTTCAAAGAATTTGACATCTCGACTGACAAATATTTTATTGTTGTCCAAATCGAGAAGCCGCCATCCCTTTTGGCCGAATGGGTAGCCAAGGAAAACGCATCGACGAGAACGGGACTCAAATTTGTCTCCATGGTGAGATTGATTGTGGGCATAGGCGAGGCATCCGAAAACACGGATATGATTGTATGAGGGGTTTTTCTGAAAGATCAGGGAATATGGGGTTTTGCCTTTATGTAGCTCAGAGGGTGTTCGGTTAATGAGATAGGCAGCGGTGAGGATGCAATCACCCCAGAATTTAAGTGGAAGATATGCTTAGAAACGGAGTGCTCTGGCAATATTGAGAATATGACGGTGTTTTCGTTCAACTCGACCATTTTGTTGTGGGGTACCAACACAAGAGGATTCAAAAAGAATCCCATGATTGCTAAAAAAGGATTTTAAACAAGTGAACTCTGTACCATTGTCACTTCGTACAGTTTTTACTTGTTTATTAAATTGACATTCAATCATGGGAAAGAAGTTACGCAGGACAGTGGGAGCTCCATATTTGTGATTCAAGAGATATACCCATGTTGCCCGAGAGAAATCGTCAACAATAGTCAAAAAATATCTCGCCCCAGTGCGAGACGGAGTACGATACCCACCCCACAAGTCACAATGAATCAAGGAAAAAGGAGTAAGAGTTTTATTGGCACTAATTGGAAAAGAGTCACGACATTGTTTTGAACGAAAACACACATCACAAGGGGAATTAGGAATATTGGTATTTTTGGATAATTGAAGAAAAGTGTTGACAATGGTGTAAGAGGGATGACCGAAACGCTTGTGCCAAATGTCCAGATCCTTTGCCTCTTTCACTGTGCAGACTTTGTCCTTCACACCTTTCTTGAGATAATACAGTCCTTCAGCCTGCTCACCCACTCCAATCACCATCTTCGAGATATAGTCATGTATGATACAAATTTTATTATTGAACTTGACAATTAAATTCTTTTTCTCAAGAAGTTGTGAGACAGATATAAGATTACAGTTAAGTTGAGGAACTAGCAAAACATTTTCTAAGGTTATCAAATTATTCAAGATCACACTCCCCTTTTTGTTGGACACCACACAATCTCCATTTGGTAGACCAACAGAACAAGGTTTCATAGCTTCCAATTTTTTAAAACACTTTTCATCGCTGGTCATATGTTGGCTGGCTCCACTATAAATGATCCAGGAAGTATTAGTCATACCTGAAAATTTATTTTCCATACCCGAATCCTTCTCATTTAAAAGTCCCACAAGTGCATTCCATTGATTGGTTGTGAGAGGAGGGAGATTTGCACGCCCTCCATCCGTCGGGTTGGCCTGAGCCGTGTGGGCCGCCGGTCCCCATGTTGGACCGCTAGCAAGACCGCCACCAGCCCCGCCTTGGTTACCTCGACCGGCGTTGCCCCCCCTGCCGCCGCGCCGTCCTCCTGTGCCGTTGCCTCGGCCATTGTCTCGTCCCGGGTTCAAAATTCGTGGGCGATCTCCCCACCATTCAGGATATCCAACGAGTTGAAAGCAACCACTCTTCTCGTGTCCGCTCAACCCAAAATGTTTGCATTTTAAATCTTTAATCATGTCACGATCAAATTTAGAAGTGACAGCAAAGCCAACCGGGTTACGTTCCTCTTCTTGGGTAGTCTTCAAGACCCCTTCTTGCTGGATAATGACCGAGTAAACACGGTTTAGTGGTGGCAAGAGCTCTGTGGCGATGATGTTGGATCGTAGACTCCCATATCCTTCGTTATCCAATCCCATCAAAAACTGGTGCACATTTTCTTAGTCTCTTTGAATGGCAAGAGCTTTGCTTATCCCACACTTGCATCCTTGGCATTTGCAAGTGGGAATCTTTTCATGATCACCAAGTTCGTCCCAAATTGTTTTTAATTTTCCAAAGTACGTGACAGTGGACTGACCGTTTTGCTTGCAGTTTGCAAGTTCTTTCTTCAGTTGATGAATCCGAGGCCCATTCGCAATAGAGAAACGATCTTGGATGTCTTTCCATAGTTCTGCTGCTACCTCCACTTGTGTAATAGAGTTTCTCAGACTACTGTCAATGGTATTGTAAATCCATGAGACCAACATGGCATTTACAATCCACCATTCTTCATAATTTTCATCTCCCTCTTCTCGACAAGGGATGAATCCATCAATGAATCCAATTTTCTGTTTTGCACGGAATGCAATTCTCATTGCACGGGCCCATTCTTCATAATTATCAACGTTTAGTTTGACTTGGGTGATAATTAATCCGGGTGTGTCTGCGTTCTTGAGTTCGTAAGAACTTCCCTTCGTAGGGATCTTCTCCTCCTCATCGAAGATCTTTCCGATGAGATTTTCCTCTGCATCTGCCATGTCGATGGAACAACAAGTTTGCTCCGGCGGCGGACAGTGATGGATCGTCGTTTGTCTAAATTAGGGTTTTTTTAGGAACCTGGCTCCGATACCATGTACAAATTGATAAGGGAGAAGATATTCTGTATATTAAATTGTTCTATCTAATTACAAGGGGTTTCTCCTTTATTTATAGGAGAGAATGATTCCAAAATAGACAAGGAATACAAATCCTACAAGGAAACAAATCAATAATCAAATTAGGAAAAAAATAAATCAAGATCAATCCTAATTAGAATGGGATTCGATCATCATAGGAGTTGGATTTCTCGAGTTCGGATTTCTCGGAATTCGGATTTCTCGGAAGTTGGACTTCTCCGGATCCGGACTTCTCAGTTCCAATACCCTCCGATCCCTACCACCGCGCCACCGCCCTCTTCTGGTCCGGGTTTGTCGACGATCAGATATTCCCAACAATGCGCCGCATGCGGCTTGCGGCGGACGAGGGAGCGAAGGAAGAAGAGATGAAGAAGCTCCTGGAAGAGCTATCCCAGCTGGAAGATGTACTGTTACAGAGCAAAGGAAACAATAATAATAAAAATAATAATAAATTCTTTGGCGGGGAGAGGATTGGGTGGCTGGACATTGCTCTGGGATGCTACGTGGGTTGGTTCAGGGCCGTCAAGGTGTCCAACGATGTTAAGAGGGTGTTTGGGAGTGATTAACTTATGTATAAAATGATTTCCACAAAAGCTGAAAGCAGAAGCATCTCCTACCTGCTTCTCCGAAACGGTGTTCTTATTTCACGGGACTCCCAATTTGTCACGATGGGCCGAGGATTTCGCCGCCGATGATGCCGTGAGAGGTCTCTTGCCGTCGACGGAGGAGCTGGTGGAGTTCGGCGAAGATTTCACTAAGAAACTGAGAGAGGCGGCCGCCCGCCATTAAAATCAATTAATTAAGGTTGTTTTTTTTCGCATTTGGGCCGGCTTCGATCTTGTACGCCCTTGTCGCATTTCGATTTGCCGATCTGCTAGTGTTCTTTGTTCGTGTTGTGTGTGTTTTTGGTACTCTTTTTCTATTCTATTCAATTTGTGGGTGTATCTGAAATAAAGCTTTTGATGCCTCAAAAAAAAAATTGATTTGTCTCCAGTCTCCATAAACTATCAATGCTATAACTCTCTTTTTTTGGTAAATTCTTTTAACATGGGTCATCAAAAATTGTAGGTAGGTAGCTATTATTCACACGGTCAAACTTTAATTATTTTTTTTTACATATTTTCGTTAGTTATTTGATAAAATAATATAGTCTTGTCACCTCTCATTTTGTAAAACTTTTGATGTAGTTTTTAAATACATAAATTTTATTACACTTACAATCAAATAGATTGAAATGAAAACAAAGTCGGTCAAAATTTCATAAACAGAAACGAGAAAGGTATTTTAGGAGAGAGGGAATATATTTTTTGAATGGCTATGGCATACTCCTTATTAGGGGGGGAGGGGGCGCCTTACCTGTTCCATTTGAATAGAGGCCACTAGTGGCGAGTGGTAGAGGTACACCGCCCCTACCAGCTATCCGAGTACTTTGTCCGAGTATACTAACTTAAACATATTTTTTGATACTGTGGAATAATCTATAGACACATGTTTTATTGGGTATGACGGCAGTGTGTTATGCCCATGTTGTAGAAGTGTATACAACCTTAAACACATTCTTTGACAGTGTGGAATGCAAGGACAAATTTAGAATTGCATCCACACGAATTCTAATATCCCATAACAGTGTTATATTGGGTATTTTAAGTATATATTAGTGCCATGACAATACTTCTCCCTAAAATAGTATCTTATCGCACTAGCATTTTGTGCGAGTATGAACTATTTGAGTTTTCACAATCTACAATGTGACACTTTGATCATCAATATCTTCATTTTTATATAAATATATATTCTAAAAATAATATATTTCAAAACGATGTTTCAAAGTTAATCTATTAATACTAAAGTCAAACTAGAAAGTTAATTTTAAAACGGAGGGAGTAGTATATATCTTTGATATGAGTCATGCTTACATATTTATCATGGCCTCAATGTTCACATTTAAAATGTGGATCTTCTCACATTTTTCATAGGCTTCTATGTGGATATTTTTCTTTATTGCAAAAGACATACTTCTTTTATACTACAAATGCACTAAGGTCCACATAATGAGCATAGACCTTAGTTGCACAGATGAATTTGCCATTTGTAGAAAATAATAAGAAAGAAAAATGTTTGGTATATTAAATTGTCTTGTGAATACTGTTGGGAAAAATATTATAGATTTTGATGATGATTTATTTAGAATGTAATAGGGACTTTAGGTCTCTCCCAATATTCAATGTAATTTTTCTTTTTAGAAATATTGTTAAAACCAAGTTCTTGAGTTTTCAATAAAACTGTGATATTTCTTTAAGCGTTTTGATGCCTGAAGACTTGATCAAATTCAGTGATATGAAAATTGGATATCTTAATCGGAAGTGTCAGAGACAAGTAAGGATTTCTCAATCAGATAAAAATCCTCAGATCCGGAAGACTACATAAGAACCGGATGTCTCGCTACAACCTGCTGAAGGCTAAGTCATTCAAATCGGAAGACTAGCGCGGATCTCCTTCTCACCCGGAAGTCTGAAAAAGACTCATCCGGATTTGTCAGCTAAGAATCGGAAGACTCACCGAAGACCGGAATTCTCAGAAAGCGGACAAGTGAGAAAAGGCTTAGAAAATCATCTAAGTCCTGAATGAAGAAATTCTACCTGTGGCAAGGAAGAATCAATCTCTTGGTTTTCAACGGCTAGATTGAAGATAATTAGGCTGATTCAAGAACAAATTATTCGAAGACAAAGTCTGGGTCTCTAAAAATTAAAGAGCCTGCCCGGAATTCCTAAACAAGCACTAGAAGACAAACAGAGTAAAGTGCTACAGTCTTGAATTCTTGAACAATGGCTAGAAGACGGATTTTGGGGAATCCTTTCTCAACAATTGGGTAAGTCCAAACACCCACTTCAACGAAGAATCTTCAAATCACAATCTTCATTCAAAATTGAAGCCAGCAAATGCAACGGATAGTCCATTAT